TATATATAGAATGAGTTTTATTGAGTTGGAGCAACGCAAATTCCAAGACCGAACATTTGATTTAATAACTTCTAAATTTTTAAAGAAAGTGACTAATTAATAAAATCGCATTCTTCATGTTTTTGTTGAATTATACTACACAGAATTCCTCTATTCCATCTTTGAATGGAGATCTTGATAATAGTGACTGAGATTCATGTAGTTATCCAATGTTTAAGAAAGTAATGACTTTCTTATGTTACGTTCAATTCATTTGGAAAAATAATTTTTACTTTTCAGCTGAATATCATTGGCTTCATTCCGACGCTTCTGTACTTCAGCTACAGCTTTTTGATGGCATTAGCATTTTGGATCTTGACAGGCACGATTGGTTTCTATGCGGCTTACTCCTTTTTGTGCCGAATATACGCAGCTGTTAAGATTGATTAATGCAAAAAACTAATTTTTTTGCGAATTTTGTATATAAGGTTAATTTCTACTTTTTTCCAAGATCTTCTTTATCATTAAATCTATCGTTTTATGACGGATATTGCGAGAAATTGAAGAAAGAAAAGTCTTTCTACTATCTTACTGAAGGGGTCAAATAGGGTTGTGTAAGGAAAAGTTCATACCGTATAAAGTATCAGGGCGCACCATAGAAAAAAATTAGTAATAGGCATTTAAAATTTTTCTTGTTTTAATAGTTTGCATGCAGCATTGTATCATTAGCATGATTATTTCTTGTGTACATCACGTTTTTCCGCAATCATAACGCAGTCGTGCGTGGCGCGCTGCAAACAATTTAACTTGTGTTGAGAAGATGCACGCTATTAATCCTTCTTCATAATGGTTTATGTATGGAAAAAAAATTTTCAGAAATATGAAGTGAGCGCGCTTAACTTTTCAAAACATATCGTTTTTCATCGAAGGATAATCGACATTATTACAGAGATTGCAATGAAGAAGGCAAGAAATTGAATAGCATGGAATTAAGTAAAATGTAGAAACTGTTCTCAAAGTCACTGTTTTTTTCTTATATTGGCTTCATATTTTCTCCAATTTGTTTCTTTTTTTATATTATTTGTGATTATGTTTTTTTAATCATGTTCGTTTGGGAACTCTTCGTTTTTCTCTCATTATTCTCCTATGTTGTATACGACAGAAAAATTCAGTATTCTAACGAAATAGTATTTTTCAGAAATATGAAATGAGATTGCTTAACTTTTTAAATTCTTGAAAAAAAAATTTTGCTCTATATCATTCTCGTTTATTTATGAGAAAATTTATTTTTTATCAAAAATATTCTTAGATTTTTTATATGAGTATACTTGACTATAACTGTCCATTTCAGTGTAAAAATCAATTCTGGAATTAAGTTCTTCGAATATTCATCCTTACTAACTGGAAAATTTTGGAATTTGGATGTTGTTTTAGGCAGTGTGCTTGTTTCCGGCTTATATTTTTGCGAAACGTACCCGATTCCACGTCCACTGATGACTGCCATATAATGAAAATTGATTTAGAATTTTATTTTTAGAGTATAAAATGCAATTTTTATCAATCATGCGCTGTACAGCAAAGTTTATCCATCTAAGATTTTATCATAATTCGAAAAAATGAAGCTGATGTTAGAGTAGCTAGTACAAACTTTGAATATTGCTGTAGAATACTTAATAGTATATATTATTTTTACATGTTAGTATTTGTAATAAATGTTTCATTCATCATTTTGCTGATTGTCATAATTATTGTGGTTGTTTTATAAATGGGTTGGAATGAATAGACATAACGTTTTTTGTTTCTGTTGAAAAGATAGGAATAAAAAATTCTCTTTCCAGTGGATTGATAGGAGAAATTGCAGCACTTTGTTAGAAGTCAATGTTTTAATACTTTTTTATTATTTAAATTTTATATTATTTTATGTTCGTTTCTTTTTTTTAAATTTCTGTGGCAAAATTTCAGAAGCAATTTTTGTTGGTGTTCACGTAACTTTTCTTTGTCAAAAGTATAAGAAGTTTTTGTATTAGCAATATTTCTTCATGCTTCACTAAATAGAACTGCTTTTCAGATTAAAAACAGAGAGTTAATGGGGACTGAATTTATAGCTAATGATAGTGATGGTGGATTTGATATTTTTCGGACGAGATTATTGTTGATGTTTGGTGGACCGTTAGGTTTTCATCTTTTGTATTTGCGTGAACCGCTTGAAGCTTATGTGTATTTCGCGACATTTGGCCTTTCGCTAGTTGCGGTGTTTTACGATGCAATAACTCTGAATAGCCGAGTTGCTGCACGAAATAAAGAAATAGATATGTAAGTTGAAATTATAAGTCAATTATAAAAGTGCGTAACTTCTGGATTTCTATAATTTAGTCTTAACTCTGAAATACTATAATCGTTGACTGTGTGTTTCTTTCAAAAATGATGTATGCCTCTCCTAACAGTTTTGACTGATGTTAGTTCAAGATAATAATTTTTTATATTTTGAATTGTAATAATTATATTTGATGTTTAATACCATCATTTTAATTTTAGTTCAGATGTTTGCTTTGTTAATTTACTCTTCTATCATCATAGTAAAAGATGAAACATATAACGACAGAATGACCATTGAGAAAAGATGAGAGAGGTTAAAGGTTACAAGGTTTGATTTATTAAAAATATCAAATAATTTATTTCAGTGGAGCTAGCAATGATCGAAAAGTGAAGGTAATATCTACTTCATTTATCCGTTTCATTGCACAGTTTCTGTTTGGTTGTTGGATTGGATTCTTATTCTCTTTAGTTACTGTTCTACTTATTGGTACTGGACATCGCATTCTTTTAGCGCTATTCATAGCTGCTGGTGTTACTCAAGGTTTTAGTGCTATTTTTATGAACTAACATATTTTAGTGATAAATTTTTTCATTCTCGTATATCATTTCTCATATGAAGATTTGTGGTTCAGGAAATTTTAGTTTCTAATATTTATCTAAATTTGCAAATTGATTTATGATCACACTATGTTGTAGCAAATGATCAATGTATGTCTTCCGTAAAATGTTGCAAATTTTATGTGATATGGTAAGCAGTATTCAGGAAAGTGGTGAACTTTAAACTTTATCCGATAGCGAATTTGTTTGCAGGTGTTTATGTTGTTGGCAATTGTAGGAAGCAACAACGTAACTTAATTTATATAGCACTTTCGGCAGCGTTTTGTTCTTTAATAGCGGTTAGATTTAGTATATATTGTCTCGAAATATTACATAATTTCAGAGGGTTTCTGTGTTGATTTAATTTGTTTATACCTGTTGTTTTTAGGTGTTAATGAACACAGATATTTTCTTATCTCCTTTTTTGCATGGAGTCATATTACTCTCAACCGACACATTATACTGAAATAACTAAATCCTACGGGTTGAGAGTAAACTTATTCTTGAGAACTTCTTTATCAGCTTATTATTTGACATTCTTTTAAAACTGAACGATTTTCAGATTCTTTGTTTTAACCTTTCGTTATGTCGAACAGTTTTCTTTACATCAATTTCGTCGACATTTGTTGGCAATCGCAGTACACAGCTTCGAAATATTCAGAAATTTTCACTTGCCACATATTTCGTATGTTTACTTCAAGATTTCTGTGATGCAGTTGTTTTATCTTTTACTTTACGACATTTCCATCTTCTTTATTTTAATAGTTTGACAATACTTAGGAAATTTTAATCCTTTATCAAAGACGATTTATGAAATTTTACTTAAAACATTTGCGTCGGACTTTTCATGCGTGATATTTTGTATTGTGTGACGAGCACTAGCGCTGATTAGAAATTGACACATTACTATAATAATGAACACAATAATATAGTGATCTAGTGAGAATATTTTCTGTGCTTGCAAATTCAGTTTCTGTTTGCAGGAGGTTAAGTAGTATCATAAATTGAATTTTGTTGTGTGAAAATCAGCAGTTTTTCTGCTTGAATTTATATTAACCAAATTCGGTATAGCAACATTGGAGAAGATAATCTTTTATTATTCGGCATTTCTTACACGTTATATAAAAGTGGTAAGCAGAACAGATTATTCTGCTTATTACTTTTATATTGTTAAGAAAGTGTTAAGGAATCAATTCATGTTGTACTTTTTTATTAGAATTTTATAAAGAATGCGGAGTTATTGATTTTTGAATATAGTTTTAGGTCCTGTCATTGATTCATTCTTTTATCATGATTATCATTATGATTGGCTTGATGCGTGTCGTACTTGATCGACGAATCTCAGTTGTTACGGAAAATTCTTACGCTCATGTTTCTGCTTCACTTGGTTCTATCATACGGGACAAATATTTCCGATTTCCAAGCAAAGATATTTTTGAAAATTTTTCACGTATCGAATATCTCCCGCTACAGCATATAACGGTAAGACAAGACTGAATTAGTGCTGATTTAGATCATGAAATAATTTTGAGTTTTTCTTTAAAAAATCCGGTATAATGATGTGAAATTAAAAAAAAAATCTCAGTTGGAATTAAAGTTTTCATCCAGTATTATAACATGGTGTTTTAGATAATGAATGCAGGAAATTCCCCAATACAGCACGAAATTGGTCGGGAAGAATTGTCTATTTTTGATTACTTGACTGTACTAATTATTGACTTCATGCGATATAGTACGGAGCTGTCCAAGAACACAGAAAAGCGGGAGTCTAGTGCTTTGCAGTTGGCCATGTGGAGGACATTCGCTCTTCATGTTTGTTATTGAATCATTGTTTCTCTAAGCTATTTTTCTGAGATGTAAAATATTCAATAACACTACAGTAATTGTTTTCGGTGAGGAGAATTGCCATTGTTTTGTGGATCTAGCAAGACGTTTATTGCTGAGAAAAAGATGCATTGAAATTACATCTTTTATTAGGGATAGTATTGGCAATCTATTTTATAGTTATTTCAAATTGATTATAGATATTCATTTTGAGCATGTTCAATTCCCATATGTAATAAAAGAAAATTAGAAATTTGTTACAGGGCAGTGTAGTAAACGACTCTTTCTATTTTATATAAGAATCCTTTTATTTTCTTATTTAACGATCGAGAAAGGAATACTCATGTACTTTTCATTTAAATAGGCAATAATATATTTCTTCCACTATTCGGTAGACTTCATTACCTAAGTGGTACGTTTTAGACAACGAATTCACTATGCTGTTATTGAAGGAAAGGAACTGATATATAATGTAATTTTTTTTGTGAAACGTGTGGAACTCTTCCAAGTAATTCCTTTCATTAGAATAGCAGGTTGGCAAAGTATTTGTTCCAGTACCTCTCTCCGCGGTTTGTATTTGCAGATAATTACATGGTGCTAGCAGTTCATCTTCTAGTTTCTTTTAACTAGGTTATTCTTTCTAGATTAGTTAGGCTATTAGTGGAAGTATTTTCCATTTTTAGTGAAGTTCTACTGTCTGACCATTATTAGAATTTCTTCCAATCGTCACTATTGATTTGCCTATCCATTCTGATTGTTAGTTCTTTCCCCTATCCATTCCATCACTTATTAGCTGTCATTTATGATTCCCATACTACACCTATGGTGTTCTCTTTTTAAAAATTATTTAAACATAAACTCATATATGTCAGCACATTTCTCATCATTGTTATAGATATTTTTATTGTGAAGTTCTTTTCTTCCAAAATATTGCGAAATTGTTGGAAATTTTTATTGTGAAGTTTTTTTCTTCTAAAATATTGCGAAATTGTTGGAACACTCCATTGACAACTATCGTTGGTTGAGAACATCTTTTCAACATTCTTTTGATATGAAAAAACGAGAAGTTTGGATTAGGTATTGTGTTATGGAGTTTGATCATCCACTAATAACCGTTAAAATTGCTTTTGTCACAGCTGCACTATCTCTTGCACACTGAAAATGCTTTGAATTAATCCATTTTATTACTGACAAGATTTCTTTTATTAATACATTTTAAGGTTTTGAATGTGACGCCATATGCATCGGATGAAAAAGTGCTACAAGAATGTTCGAAATATTTGGAAAATAACAAAATAGTAAGAGAGACTGTAGAAGATAGCAACTATTGGCGGCACAAAGCGATCAAAAAAGCTTGCGAACTTTTACACGTGATAATGAAGTAACTGAATGGTTTAAAGTATGTTCCACGGCTGATTCAATAAATTATTTTTCATTAGTTATGATTATCATAAAAAAGTTTTTTTTTTCATTTTTATCTATGAAAATATAAAAAATAAACTTTTCATTTTTATAGTACCTAATTTAAAAGGAATTCTTTGGGGAAAATTATACAGGTCATTTATTTGTTAACCACATTCTGACGGGTTGATTTTTGGAGTAAACGGCAATGCTAATCTTGAAATAAAACTAAATAATATAACATTTTACCATTATTTTTCTTTGCAAGTTAAATTTTTTTTATTTTATTTATCCACTTATTGTTATTATTGCTACATTTTTCTTAAATTCACAAAACCTAAATTTATATTTAGAAATTACTGCAATTACACAATTAATTTGAATTTAACTGTGTAAAGTTCAAAAATTTGTTCAAATATATGAAAAGGAATGTCTCTTTTCTGATTGGAAAGATGAAAAGACAGGATAGTGGATAAGGGTTGTCAATTTTCATATTTGTATACGTCCTCCAAAAGTTTTTTAGTTCATTTAATTGAGTGAGTTTGTTAATTGGACTACGGTAAAATGTTTTCTAAACATCCTACCAAATCTTTTCTGATTCTTTACATATCAATACCACAAAAATAGTGGAACTTAAAGAGTATGACAGTGTTTTATATTCGTTCTTTTATATTATACTACTATTCTTAGTATTTATTATTGCTGTTGCAGGCGCAGTGTATTGTTACTTCTGATTTGGTACAATGTTATATCATGGAGCATTTGCATCTCATCGCTGTCATTACCCTTTTTAACAATTACATTCATATCCCTTAATTATGCATGTATTTTGACATTGTTATGCTGGTAGTGTCTGTCATTGGTGATGATGGTACTGCCATTTTCTTTCGACTTCAGTTTAAGGTTCATCTCATCGTCTCTCTCGTCTTCCTATTTTTTATGCATTCGATATTTGTCAAGGACGTTGGTGTTGGTCATGTTTGCTATCTACATTTGGTAAGTTCATCATTTTTTTTTGATAAAGTTTCTTAAAAATTTTTTTTCTGGAATTGATATTAAAGTAGTTTGAAATTTTCAAGTGTGTATTCATACGTGCGCAAATATATGTGTGTATATGTACTTGTTTCGTTGTGTGTATGTAATATCAGAACAGTGCCAGTTGAAATGGATTTTCCAATCTCTTTCATGTGGATTTAATTTTTTTGGAGATTTAAAAATTTTTTCCAGGAGTAGAGTTTTAATGTCTTCTGTAGTAAAGTGACTTGAAGTATATTAAAAGATCACTAATACATTTCCTTTCAAGCTTTGTTTATTTATTGTTATGACTGTTGAAAAAGCTTTAATCATATCTTTACATATTTGTGTTCTCATTTCATTTGTAATTCTAGAATTCCTGCAAATACCGACATCTTACCATTCCTTTACCATAGTAACTAATTCTTCGCTAGTCTTCATTAGTGTTTCTTAATTGGATGGTGATGTTATAATCTAATTAAAATTTATTACCGTTATATTTAATTCGCGCACGATTTAGGAATTTCACTGGAAACATCATTTCTTGTTTAAAGTTAACTTACAAAAGTAGTTTTCATTTTGTTAAGTGGGATTCTAGGAAAAGGTTTGTTTATGGCGATTGATTTTGGATATATCCGTTAGCTTTGATTTATCAGTTTATGACTGTCGGTAGGTTTGTTGTATTCTTGATTGTCTATAATAGTTATGAACTCATTGGTACTGTTATTTAAAATATACTGGAACTGTACGCAGGCTATGATATATCATTGATGGTGGAATTCCATGTTCTGAAATAACCGTTAAAGAAATGAAGTGCCTGATGAACTTTTGCTAATTCCAAATTGCATCATATGTTTGTTGCTGTGAGTTGTCCTGTTAAATTTGTTAGTTTGCTCTAGCATTTGCAGGAGTTCAATTTCTTTTGATTACTCAGACGAGAGTGAGCGATGTGTAAAAGTGTTCAAATAAGTGAATAATGAAAAAAATCTTTAAAATGAAAACATCTCAGACGGATGGACAGGAAGATCTTTTGGTTGTGTAAGTATGAAAGGAGAATTGTTTTTGATAAAATGAGAAATTTCGGTCGATTTGAATTCATTTACAAAGAGAGTTCCGGAGTATCAGCAATTAGCAGTCGGTGAGGAATAACAAGTTGTTTCGGTTAGCCAACAATTAGTAAATTGATATTTGTCATTGCTTAATTCATAATATTATATGTGCTAGAGTTGCAAGTGAATTGAAGACATTTTAATTCTCTACATGTATTAATTTTTTGTAAAAAATTTTATTTACTTAGTGTAATGAGAACGTGCAGTTTTGCTGTTGGGATGGTAGGACGAACGGACAGACGGGCCGTTTATTGGAGGATGGATGAATGGGATGGGTGGCAGACTGGCTCTTTGGTTTAGTTCTTTCGTTTGTTTATTGGTGTTTGATGAATCATTTTGGAGCATTTTAATTTCTGTGCAGTATTTTTGTTCAATTCTCTGTATTGTTTTTTTCCTTTCCCCTTCATCCATTTTTATCTCTTAGATTCTCTAAAATCTTTTTTCTGTTCCGAATTCGGCATAAAGACTAAAGAAAGAGTTCGGTTATTGTTATAATTAAAGCTTTTGTTAAATGTAGTGAATTAGCTTATGATATTAGATATTTGAGTTTACAAATAGCATTAGTATTAGTGCTTTTTGATGTTGCAATTGAGCAACATGAATGTTGGCTTTCAGGAAGATCGAAGCAAGTAATTAAAAGATTTAGTTCGTTGATTGTTCTTGCCTGCTTGGAGCTGGCAGAGTTGATAAAAGCAGTTAAATAAGAGTATGAAGAGAGGGAATTATCATATGAACTTACGTTTCTCGTTATTTAATCGTTTGTGGTTTAGGTTGTTAAACGTAAATGTTTTGCTTCAGACCCTTTAGCAACTTCAGTTTGTAAGTAGTTTAACGGTCTTGCTTCAGTATTTGGGGTATTAAAATGTCGTTTACACTTGAATTTACTGTTGCTTGGATTTTTGTAGTAAATAGTCTGTGGTGTATCTTGTATTATTATAGCTATTAAACCTCTCTAGACCGTTTGATAGTTAAATTAGCGACAGTTTATTTCGACTAAATTTAACTAAAATTGATTGTCGCATCGCACGATGCTTTTTTGATTTGTTAGTATTTTAGTTTAATAACTTCTCAAAAAAATTTAAGTATCCGCGTTTTTTTTTGCAGCTGTAAGTTTAAATATGTTTGCCAATTCAATAGCATTTTCGTTTCTATATATGTATGATACATGATTAAATTAATCATTTCATCTTAATGGTATGCACTGAAGCAACCTTTTCACCTGAAACATACACCGAAACGAATTTTCTATCATTCTAACTGAATGGATCATTCTCTTTGAACTAAAATGAGATGTTTTAGCTGTGTAGAGTACAAAAAAAGTACTTTTGATAAAAACAAAACTATGATAAAAGTACAGAGTCGTTATTGACGGTTTAAGGAAAATTGGTGGTTTGCAGATAGGTAGTAGTGTATAATGTATGTCGATACATTTAATATGTGTTTTGGCGTTGCCACTTACATTCCGACATTTTTTTTTCATCTTCTCGTTCTGTTAAAAGCATTACACTATAGCAGTTAGTAGGTTTTTATGTTATT